CCGGTCAAATTCCGCAATATTTCAGGGTTAATTTCGGAGTTTCGGTGGCAAAATCCTCGGAGCACCGGTGAATCCCCCCTCCCGATGACAGCTTAAAGGGAGCAAATATTCCATTAGCTAAAGATTTCAAATTCATCCTCCAGGTATGCATGGTACTAAATGTGTTGAGCAGTGCACATCAAACTTGGAAAACATCAAAAAAACAACAAAAAACGAGGTTCCACCCTGGATAAGCCATTCAATCAAAGTACGGGATGATTCCGTAACAAAAAAGAGGCATGGTACTTCCCGAACACACAAACACACGCACACACACATATATACATAACAGATGCATACACACACGCACACACACAAATATATAACAGATGCACACACACACACATGTATATATAACACATGGTACATGGTACACTCAACAGCTCAATTGAAAGGGCCAGAGACCTGTTTAGCAACAAACAGAGCGGTATGCCACGGTCCAGTAACGGCCGCGAAGAGGAGGGAAAGGGGGCGGGCCGGGGCCGGGGGAGGAGGGACGGGGCGGGGAGAGGGGAAAAAGCGGGGGATGGAGGGTGGGTACGGTGCTGATAGTTCATGATGGCCAACAAAACCGCGCTATTCAGTTTCTTCACATCGCCCATACGGTTAAAAATTCCATAACAAAAAAGAGGCATGGTACTTGTCGAACACATACACACACACGCACACACACATATATATAACAGATGCACACACAGACACATGTATATATAACACATACACACACATATGTATAACAAATACCCACGCACTCACACATACATAACACGTACACACACATATATACACGCACACACACACACACACACGTACACATGTATATATATAACAACAGTCACATGCATGCACACACAGACAGCGAGACCGACGTGCGTGCACTCTCACACGCACGCGCGCACACGCACACACATACATAAACAAATGAAGCAATAAACATGTCTCCACACGTAAACATACACAGGCCGACAGAGAGACGAAAGCACGTGTATGCACATACACACATGCATACGCATACACAAATACATACTGACACACATACATGCACGCACACACACATCACATGCACAAGTGCGCGCACACACACACACACACACACAGAAGCAGACACGCCAACACGGGACCCAAACTAATTACAAATGCAGAAAAAAAGAAGAAAACAATGCAGCCCCTCCCCCCCACTGCATCACGAAACCCAAACATCCAGAGCGAACGCGCAATCCCAAACCCCGCACAACAATCGAAGCAGCCCCCCCCCCTGCCCCGCAAACCGCCATCCCCCGCAATCACCGCGACAAGCCACGCCCACTCGGGGCCACCCCCAGCGACGACGCTAGCCCAGAGAATGAAACAATCAAACACCACCTCGAGACACGCCCCCTCCGGGACCATCTGCCAGCAGTTGCAGCTAAACTTCGTTGCCAAACCGTCAAGTGTAGTCTATCTCCCCCACAGGCTTACTTGGAAGGGGCGGGGCCGGGAGGAACTAGTGGGGGAGGGAAGAGGTGGAGGCCCCACCCACCTTGGAACTATGCAAAAACTAGGAATAGAGTTGTAACACTGCTGCTGCTTAGAGTCACTCTAGTTATTATGCGTTTTGTGCTGTGTAACAGCGTTATAAAACGCATATTGTCACGGGGTTGTCTGTGTGTGTGTGTGTGTGTTTGTGTGTGTGTCCCAGATTTTGTCCCGCACTTTCAACTCGGGAACCACAAAAGCTAGGCGGCTGAAATTTTGGTATAGTGTTCCCGCCAACGGGTGACGAGGCAAATTTAAATTCAGCCTTCCCGTACCCGCGAGTAACTCGTACGGCCCTGTGAAAGTTTTTTACGGGCAAGTTAATATCTCGGGAACCACGGAGTCTAGGAGGCCGATGTTTTGGGGTAATGACCCCCTGCCCACGCTCAACCTTGCCCATTCAAATTCAGCGTTCTCCCGCTCTCGGGTACCACCTACGGCCTCGTGAAAATTTTGGCGGGTAGACTATTAACGCGGGAATCACGGAAAGATATTCATCCTTCAATATCTCGAATTTAGCTTTCGTACGCCGGTGCGTGACATTTTTAACTGTTTTCCAGTGTTTGAACTATTTTTGCATAGACTAAAGTACAAAGCAGTGAAAATC